GGACATGAAAAGTCGCTTCCCTTACACGTGATTGTAAAAACGCCCATAAAACTGCAAAACACAAAATGTGAAACCGCAACTTTGCATTTATTTCCGTATGAACCTAACGAATCTCCATACTAATTTTGGTGAAGACCCATCCACACCCTGTGAAGTTGTTACATAGACATACAACAGACAGAACCATTATGTTTATATAGATTCTAAACAATGTTGTTAAAGTAAGTAACGTTGGAAGAAGAATACAGTATGCCTTACTTACAGAGTAGATGAACACTTGTGGTTTCCTTCATGTTCTATCGTAAATTTAACCTTGACAAAAATGCATAATCCTCGTTAATAACGTCTTGTGGCCAATGAAAGTCCGTTAAACTTCTGTGACACTGTACCTTTAAGGTAGCCTTATATTTGAGATGCATTACTACGATACGTGTTACGGTTTAACTATAGAGTAAGGGATAGTACAGAAAAACAACTAATGTTTGTGAAAAAATAATAATAAATAAAACATTAAATGAATAACATTATCAGAATACTGAAAGAATGATTTAACTAATGACCAGTTCAATAAAAAAAAGATAATAATATGCTAAACATTTTTTTTACTACGAAATTGCTTTAAAAAAACATCACCTTATACGACACGTGGAGCGGGCAGCAGCGAGCTAAATTCTAAGCAGAGGCCAAAAAATCAACTCAGAAAAGTTTAGCGAAACATCATTGTAATAATGACACTTTGAAAGGGAAGTAATAACAATGGTAAATATGACAGTTAAAAGTCAATAGCAGAAGTTAATGTAATTTAGGTAATGACGTGGTACTATATGGGGAATTGTTTTATAAGTTGCGTTATCGATTGTCAGTGGTCAAACTATCAGGTCGTAAAATTAATGGTTGTTAATACGTATATGTAGTTAAAGCTATTGTATAGTGTCTTGTTAATACATCTAAATATTTCAAACTGATTGTACAGCGCCTGGTTAATACATCTATGTAGTTCAAGCTGATTGTATAGTGTCTTGTTAATATATCTATGTAGTTCAAGCTGATTGTATAGTCTTGTTAATACATTTACATAGTTAAAGCTGACAATATAAGTTTATTATTATATAACACCAGACAGTTGCTATAGCTACATAGTTAAAGCTGAATGTACAACGCCTTGTAAATACACCTGTATAATTAAAGATGACTGTATATCACAGTGTAATGCTATATGTTTAAGGCTGTATTGCTTAACGTAGTTTGTATTGCTTTACACTTATGTCCGACTAACTGTATAGTCTACTCCTTTGGAAATTTAGTCAAGTTTATCAGAAATATGTAAAAGTAAAATCCAAGTATATTATCGTCTCTTTTATTACAAATACAGGGGGCTCTCTTTTTCTGCAAAATTAAACAAAAATTAAACAGAGAAATTCACTAAACGATGAAAAAACAATTAACTTATAATCTCGATTGTCCGATGTGGTAATAATAAATTCTTTCTGGAATTCATGGAGATAAGTCAAGCTATATTGTGCTCCAGACCAGGATTATAACTCTTGTTGTACTTTAAAGTATTGTCATTAATGCAGCTGGTATCGTTAAGTGACGTGTCAAGCCCGTGTTATCTACATGTATATATATATATATATATTAAACACTACGTTTCACTGAGTTTACCTGTATGACATCATCATCAGGTGACAAAATTTAGTCATTTTCTATGGAATATACGAATCTCAGGGCCGCATTTTCACATAGGCAGAGTAGGCAGCTGTCTAGAGCGGCAAATTTAAGAAACATAGAACGAACGCGACAACAAAAAGTTGATGAATTATGTTATTTTTTATTTTTAATGAAGAGGGGTGCAAGCCACCGCACGAAATCGAGATACCAATCAAGAATGCTGAGCGATCATGTGACTGATCACCTGATTAATGAAGTAACTAATAGAAATATTTCATTTCTGGAGTGATCACGTGGAGGCATGGGTGGTAAAAAAAATATTATATCTTAATGCGACCCTGTTTACAACCCATCAAGAACAGTATTATTTGGCTCTGTTGTTATCACAACCAGATAGCTATAGCTATTATTTCACTTTTCTCGGACGAAATTCAAAAACTGTGAATATCGCAAGTTATTGAAATGTTTCAAGAAGCTTGTATAACGATCTCAAAATACAGTAGTTTAAGAAGGAGCTTTGTTCATTGGAGACTTTATAAAATTTCAGGTAGTGTTTAGTATGGTTTTAACCAGTTTTGTAGAATTTAAAGAATCGCGTACTTGTCAATTCATTCGATAAGCAAGGTCATATTTTATAATTTGCTCGTCCTCTGAAAAGTTGTATATGTTTGTTCGTTTGTTATTTTGTCACTATCATTTCAATACGTTCTGCAAGTTAAAAGTCACCTTGAAGTTATTCTAGTAGGGAATGGTTTATTTATAATGTTGCCCTTCTTTAACCTTTTGTTCTTTAATTCGTTAAACTTTTATAGTTGTTTACAATCGTAATTGGTATGGAATTATTTTTTTACATTTTTTTTCATGTATTATGCCACAGTTCTGACGTTCTAATCTAGCTTTAGAGATACAAAATAATTTGTATTTCGTGTGTTTGTGTGTATGTGTGTGGATTACAGATTTAATTTCAACTGTGTAACATTCGTTGATGTTCAAACGAAATGCCCAAGAACGTATTTGGGAGAAGCTTGCCTGCATGGTAAGCCCATAAACACCCGATTTTCACAGCTTTATAGTAGCGGGAGAAGCTTGTCTGCATGGTAAGCCCATAAACACCTGATCTTCACAGCTTTATAGTAGCGGAAGAAGCTTGCTTGTATGGTAAGCTCATAAACACCTGATTTTCACAGCTTTATAGTAGCGGGAGAAGCTTGTCTGCATGGTAAGCCCATAAACACCCGATTTTCACAGCTTTATAGTAGCGGGAGAAGCTTGTCTGCATAGTAAGCCCATAAACACCCGATTTTCACAGCTTTATAGTAACGGAAGAAGCTTGCCTGTATGGTAAGCTCATAAACACCAGAATTTCACAGCTTTATAGTAGCGTTAGAAGCTTGCTTGTATGGTAAGCTCATAAACACCTGATTTTCACAGCTTTATAGTGGCGTAAGAAGCTTGTCTGTATGGTAAGCCCATAAACACCCGATTTTCACAGCCTTATAGTAGGGGAAGAAGCTTGTCTATATGGTAAGCCCATAAACACCCGTTTTTCACAGCTTTATAGTAGGGGAAGAAGCTTGCCTGTATGGTAAGCCCATAAACACCCCATTTTCACAGCTTTATAGTAGGGGAAGAAGCTTGTCTATATGGTAAGCCCATAAACACCCGATTTTCACAGCTTTATAGTAGCGGAAGAAGCTTGTCTGTATGGTAAGCCCATAAACACCCGATTTTCACAGCTTTATAGTAGCGGAAGAAGCTTGTCTGTATGGTAAGCCTACATTCATTGGATAATGTCCCGTCGCATTTATAGTGCGCAAAATAAAACTTCTATCACCCTATTCAAAGTTAAGAAACAACACTCAATTCAGTTACACGTTAAAGTTTTAAACTCAGTAGGATGCCCTGAAACTGATGTCTGACGCACATACAATCAAAGTTATAGTCAAACCCCCA